ATCTATGCTTTAAATCTATGTGAGCAAACCAGGGACATATCTAGAGACCCAGTCTCTACAGTTTCTCCATGCCTTATTCAGCCATGCACCAAGCCAGTGTTTACATCTGGGTTTGATTCACGTTAAGAGCTGTTTCTTCCTTTATATCCCTTCCAGAGGGGGATGTATGCTGACTGTGGCATGGCATTATGGTTTGGCTGTGTTCCTGCAGGACTCCTGCACATAACTGTTGTACACCTCTTGTGTATTACAGGGGTTTTCTAACCATCTGTTACGGAACAAACATTGTTTGTGTCATGCAGCTGAAAGTATTTATGTGACCAGAGTGGTCTCAGTCTAGGAGATGGTCCTCTCCTGCCTGGTTTAGCCAAACTCTGCTGACCTTCTTCAATACAAACTGCAGAAACAGGCTGAATTCAGGGTGTTACATAATCTTGATGGTGCTTGCCAGACACTTACACACACATTGCTTATACTGTTGTTTGTGTGTCTACAGTAACACAACCTTTCCAGCTGTAGCTCTGGCTTTTGTGCCACTTGCTGTGTGTTAGTGGCTAAAAGTCTTTGCAAAAAACCTGCCTTCTCCTTCCCTGTTGCAAGATGGAGGTGAGCTGGTCTTGGAGGGGGATGTCAGCATGACTCTGCCCAGGCTGGGATTTGGGATTAGGAAAAAAAATGTGTTTCCTGCTACACCTTGAAGAAAACATGGTACATGTGAGCCAGGCAGGTTTTTAATCTGTGATTTGCAGTTTGAGACTCTGCCTTTCTGCTAGGGTTGCCAGCATTACTTTAATTTAAATTTTCATTTTAGCACTAAATGAAGTTTTAGGACTTAAATGCAAAAAAACACCAAACAAACAAAAAATTGTCATGTAATTCAGATGGGGAGACTAAGAGCTGGTGAAAACTGACCAAATACTGAGGAAATGACTAAGGGACCTGCTTTTACACAGCTTGTCATGCCACAGGTGTTTTGCTGAGCTGAAACAAGACTGCAATTAAAAAATAGATCAGTGTCCATAGCTAGCACATGAGGGCAATCAGAGCTAATGAGGGACAGCAGGGTTGGGGGCAGCTGGCCTCAAGCCCACACACAAGACACTGCAGGAGGATGCATGCTTCAGTCTGAAGCCTGGTGAGAAAAGGTGAGTACATATATTTTTCACACGTTTTTGCACATTTTTTCCCTCTGTGGAAAGCTTTGCAGCCTGTGTGTGCCTGTTTGTACCCACTGCAGAGCAGGGGGCTGGGACTGAGGGGGGAAAACACCCCAGGTTGTTGGAAGGTAGGTACATTGGAGGTTTCCACAGGGCTGTCCTCAGAGGGAAAGCCTCAGCATGCGGGGAGGTTATGGTGCAGACATCAGGGGATCTCAGCATGGTCTGTGGGATCCCTTGGCTCCTCTCTGCATAGGTCTGTGCCCCTGTGACCCCAAGAACCTGGTATCCCTCACCAGCAGTATCCAGCCTTGTGCTCAGACCTCTATCACACTATGGGGAAAGGGAAATTGCATGGTTAATGTTTCCTGTGTTCTGCACCAGAACAGAGGCCAGGTATGAGGTAGTGCAGCTTAAGGTTTGAGGGTAACTTCCTGAAATTTACAGAAGTTGTCTTTGGTTTGTAACTATTTAAACTAGGATCAAGGAAGGAGGAGGCAAGTCAAAGAAAGAACATGACTGTGAGCACATTGAATGCGCTTGCATAGCTGGCTGGTGGTCACCTTTTCATTTTGTAAAAGATGTCAGTTAATTCCTTGTATTTATTGCTTGGAAGAAATTGTCTAGCTTGTAAATTCCAGTGGGAGGTGACGCAGCTGACTTCCGCTGCCTCACTACAACCTGGAGTGCCCATAAGCTTCCCTAGCACATGCTTATACCATGCACAATTTCTAGATGCACGACGTCCTGCAACTGTCTCTTGAGGCTGTGCTGAAGTGTTACATGCATGCTTGTGTAGACAGAGTCCCTTGGATGGCCTATTTCTGTCAAATGAAGTTAATGTGAAGTGCTCAGGGAGAGGTTATTTTTTAAGGAGACAAAGCTGCTGGTCTGTCCTAGCCATCACTGGTCTTTTAGGTCCTGCATGAGATTTTATTCCTGTCACATCTCTTTCCAAACTAAACTCTTCTGCCATTGGGTATTTGTTATCCTCTTCGTAGACATGAGGTGATAACATACATCACTTGCGTTCTTAGAATCATTTAGGTTGGAGAAGACCCTTAAGATAGAGTCCAACCATTAACCTAACACTGCCAAGTCCACCACTAAACTGTGTCACATCTACATATCTTCCAAATACTTTCAGGGACAGCGACTCCACCATTCCCTGGGCAGCCTGTTCCGGTGCTTGAGAACCCTGAAGACCCAATCTAAATACCCTAATACCCAATCTAAATTTTCACATTATAACCCTCACAGCCATTTTGCAGGGTTTTCAAGGTCCTGTTTTCCCTTGCCATGATGCTCTAAGGAAATAAAGTGTTTCAGCTTTGACTCCTAGAGAATAGCCAGGGATGGAAGCCAAGTACAAGCTTGCAAGATTCAAAGGCATCTCTCTCAACAGTGATCAGTGTTGTTTCCGTCCCATCCCAGTCTGAGTGTTCAGGCAACCGAGGCACAGATTGTTCCTGTAGGCTCCTGTTGGGATGTATTGCTGGACTGTAAGTCTGACTACACACTGCAGGATTTAAGTTAAAATACAAGAAAAGAACCCCCCTCCCCCCACTACTTAGCCCATGCTGTGGTGCTTCTGCTCCTCCCCAAAGCAAGCAAGGCTCAGGTTCTCCCGGAGATCTTAACAAGCTCAGTTCACCCTGCACTTCCACAAGAGCACACTTGGCAGGGACAAGCCACAGGTTTACACTTACTGTGACCCCCTGCTTGCAGCAGGGCACAGCATTCTTGCTTTCCTGCTGGATGTAGCCAGGAAGTCTTGTCCTCACCCTAGGAGCCAGCCAAGGCACTCTGCACTTCTCTGCCTAATTAGCAGTATCCCTTATGGGAACAGGATTATTTACAGCAGTGGAACATGGAGAACAAACCTCAAGAAGCAGGAAGTGCCAGCAAAGGCATGCTTCCTTCCTACCCTTTTCTCCTGTTCTGTGGTCTCCTTAGTGGCCAGTGATAGAAAGCAGGATAAGCCTAATTAACTCTTGTGTAAAGTACAAGATGGGGTAGCCCTGGTGAAGGCACAGTTCGTACCCTGAGCATAACAGTCAGGAACACTTGTGGCTAACCTACCTAGCAACTAGGGCTGCCCACTTCACAGGCAAAAAAAAAAAAATGAGATCAGCTTTACTCTTGTCAGTGCCAAAAGACACAAAAACCTCATGTAATCAGGGCAGCTAGGAACAGAACCCAGCTGTAAGCTCTCCTGTGTCTCTGCAACATAGGAGTCTTTAGTTTTTAAATGCTTGTACAATTATTTAGCTTACCTTCAGTTACCCAGAGAGCATCCTGCTTATTTGCACACCAAGTCCCTTGCTCTTATTAGCTGCATCAGCTCTGGCAAGCAAAGAGGAAAAGCCCTGTCTATGCACAGTCACGATCTCTGTACCCACAGGGTGACTGGCAAGACACAGCTACAACTCAGGCCCTTCTGGAAGAGCTGCAAGAAGGCCTCCATAACTAGGGTTATCAGGCAGAAGAGATAGGACATCAGAACACCAGCAGCAGATCTGCCCTCCAAAGCCATTTCCCCACACCGCAATACTCACGGGGGCACCCAGCTCTGGGGCAGCTGCTGTAGCACAGATCTGGGCAGTGCTGCTGCCCAGCAGCAGTTGTGCTGACAATTAGGCAGCAGGCTTACAAGCCCATCAGCCTCTCTATAAAAAGCCTTCACATGGCTGAAATGCTCTACAGATTGGTACTGCTCCCACCCAGACAGACAGCCCAGCCACTCACCTGTTCAAAGGAGCAGCAAATGCAGTCCTGCAGACAGATTAGCCATCGGGAGTCAAATTCCACCTCTTCAGCAGTGGAAGACCTCACCAGCAGTTAGTGACCAGCCAAGGTGCACTGGGGCCGCACCCATGTAGCTGCAGCAGTCAGTGAGCCAGTCCCCAGAGCTGGGCAGCCTGCCCAGGCTCCTGACACTCCACAGTTTACCTTTCATCAGATCTTCAAATGCCACCACAGTCTCAACTCCAGCCCTGGGTACATGGCTAGCAGGCAGCTGGGCAATAGCAGCAGCAGACACACTCCAAGGCATTGCATGAACACAGCAAAGAGGTTATAAGCACAAAACACTGTTTACCAAGTTTGTCTGCCTAACTGCAACAAGTTGCACTTGGTGAACTCAAGATTTAGTATCTCTAGTAAACTGCCCCTACAGCTTAGCAACCAAGTATTACAGACACAGTCCCGCAGGCTCCCGACATGGTGCTAAGCCACTGACCTTATGGGAAAATACAATACTAGGTCTCTGACAGTGTCAAGACCTCACTTCATGAAGCATCACAGACAGCCTGGATCCTCTAAAGACTTCACTTCTAAGTTGCCTGTGAGGCCTCACCTTCATGTCTTTCCACTGGCAAGTGCAGTTATAGTCTGACTTGCCTGCTCTTCTCTACTCCTTAAGTACACTAGTGCCATTCTGCTAGGCATGTTCTTGGAAAGCAAAGCTATTTGCAAGAGCACAAGCCCTGTTCCCTGTAACTCCCCCAACCCCAGCAAGGGAATCTGAACACTCCTTGGTCACACATGGCACAACACATGTCCAACATGCACTTGTTCAAGCTTTCTGGCTGAGACTAGTCTGAGTTTAGAAACCAAACAGCCAGGGACCTCTTACTACATCAAACAGGGTCAAGGGCACAACAACTACTACTATGGTAAGCTTTAGTCACACTAAATAATTCTTTGCCTGGCATTCGGTCTACCTTAGCACCAGCTGCAAGGCCACAGCATAGGTAGGCACATAGATGGATACATACCCCTTCCCACCCCTGTAGCGCATACAGGAGCAAGCAGATTAGAGCAGAAACAGCAGAGGAAGAAGCCATTGCAAGTTTGAGTTTATTTCACTATGCAGGGGGAGAAAAAGCAAACCAAGCAAGCTATAGCTGATCACTGAACTTAATGGCTTTGACTTTGAAGTCTCCCTCTACAGCTAGGTATTCAATTTTCTCCATGCCCAGCCGATTAGGGAACTGGAACTCAGCATCAGGCAGCTTCACTGTTGCCTCCGTTTCATTGAAGGAGATGCAAATCTGTAGAGAGGCACAAGAATGAAGGCTAATAAATCACCACTCACAAGCCTCACTCCCCACTACCTGCAGTCTGAGTACAGGACAAGATGATGTGGTTGCTGCTGTCAAGGCCATGCTCAGTAGCTCAGACTCCACCCTGCCCATCATAGGCTTATTTGCTCTGCCCCAAGGTCAGCTCCAAGCTTCTGCAACAAAGGGATGAGACAGACCCACTCTGAATCTCAGGTCTGTGTTTTAATAGTTCTTACTTGTGTGGCTTGCAAAGGAAGGCCAGAGTAGAGCACTTCATACATCCAAGCTGTTGGGCATTGACTTGACAAGAGAAGGTCTAGATGGCTGGTTTTACTGAGCGACTCTTCCCCTGTTGCTTATTCCCCTTTCCATGATTGCGCCTCCTCCACCACAGAGGTACAAAGCAGCATTGGAAAACTGCACCCTTAGCCCTTTAATGCTCTGGGCCAGGGCCTTGAATACAACCCTGCAGCCTCACCTCAGTCTTGTTCCCATGCTGGAAGGGAAAGTCAGCCTTCCTGTCCTCTTCACCCCACATGCCATCCTGTTTTGAATTGCACACGATGGTGTTGACATCCCCGTGACAGTCAAAGCGAGGGTTGAAATGCAGCAGGAGGGTGCTGCTGTCCTTCCCCACATTCACAGCAAACCTGGGGAAACAGGTAGTGCACAGCAGCCCCAGCCACACAGTGCTGATGAGCACACTGCAGGAGCTCAGGCTTCCCTCAGTGCCACATCAATCCATTCACCATCTCCTTACTCACCCTTTGGCATCAGACAGGATCTTCCCTTTGACCTTGATGCACTCTCCAGGCTGGATGTCCAGCTGAGTAACCACCAGTCCCTGCAGGGCCAAAGCACAGGCACTGCTGTGTCCCAAGGCAGGCCCACCAGTCCTGCTCAAGCCATGGCACCAGCCAGCTCTGGCAGACCCTGATGTACTTGTGGTTTCATGGGAGCAGAGGGGCTGATTCAGGGCAGCTGCCCATCTCAGCCCTCTGCCAAGTAGCCAGTTCACAGCCCACCTCCACTGGGGTCTCCCACCCTATTAGGCAACCTAAGCTTACAAGGAGGCGATTCAAGCCAGTGTAATAGGAGAAAGGTACCAGCTGCTACAGAAGATATCCTTGCAAAAAATCTTGTGCTTTCAAGACAGCAGGAGCCAGAGCTGTTAGCATAGGATTAAAGTTAGTTACAAAGCTTTTTTAACCCTAGATCTCTCCCTTCCCTAGCAACAGGAGCCACCAAAAACACTTCTTGCCTTGACCTAAAGCAACCTACTACATACAGAAAGAGAGGTCAGTGGAGCCCACTTCTGGCTGCAGCCCAGTAATTTAAAACAGCCTCCCAGGGGGCTCAGAGTACAGAGAAAACACTTGATCCTTGCCTCAGAGCCAGGTTACTCACTCTCCCAGCCACACGCCCTCCCCCCCATACCACTTAACATCACCAGCCTCCCTCAGCTAATAGGGGGATGCTGTCTGGTGAGGTCAGGCACAACTGGAATCATGCTTTGCTGCCTGTGCTCTTGGCCCAAGTGCCACAATGTTGAGCTCCACTTACCTGCACACCAGATGAGGCAGAGAAACTAATGTCAAATTAATTGTGGTGGTGTTGTTCTTGCCTGGCTTGCACAGGCCCATCCCCCTGTGTCCTCATGCCTCCTCCCTGCTCTGCACACACACAGACTGCTAGGGTTAGAATCCCTCCAGTTGCTAAACCTCTTACCATTGAAGCACCAACGCTGCCTTCTGGCTCTATTTCTGGTGCAGCACCGGAGCACAGCCAGAAATGCAGCCTCAGTGCACAAGGCAAAGGCACAAGGAAAGGCATGTTAGGGAGGCAGGGGTAGGTTAGAATATACTGCTTTCCTCTGCTGTTGCATTGAGTTAGCTTCATCCTTTACCCAAAAGTCATTTTTCCAGAAGGAAAAATAAAGTTCAAGGAGAAAAGTTATAAAGGATATTCAAACTGTAGAATTGCAAGTGGCCCCAAACCTTTAGAGTACTCAAGGATATAAATATGCATTAGAACAGCTTCCCCACTTAGATAACACACTAGAGAACAGGCGAGTAGAATAAAAATCAGCTGGTCAGCCTACCGATCCCTACCACAGACATGTACCAGCCCAGCATTTCCTCTCAGCTGGCTAACCCTTCTCTCCTTCTGCCCCTGGCACCAAGCCCAAACCCCCAGGCAGCCAAACCATAGTCCTGCTCAGCACCCGGGTCCGGCGTGAAGAGGGCACTCACTTGCTCCATGCTGCAGACACCAGCCCCACCAAGCACGACACCCCCAAGCCCCCACTCCACAGAGTGACTCAGCACCGAGCTCCTGCAGCTTAAATCACTGGGGCAGGACCATCACATGACGGAGGGGGGGCCAACGAAGGAGATCAATCGCAGCTGTGTGGGGCTGGAGCTTTCCCAGCTAGCTGCCAGCGCCAGGACATCTCTTGATAATTGTTCTCTGCAAGCAGTATGTATGTCTCTTTAAGAGCTAGGGATTGTGTGCTTCTGCGTGATCCTAGAAATCCTTACTGTAAGCTCTTCTAGCTGCTACGCAGCGTATGCTAGCTGTTATCCCAGGAGCGGAGTGTGGCTCTGTGCCTGCAGTGAGGTGGATGCTCTTTGTTAACCGATGCCTGCCTAAAATCAGGGTTGGAGTCCTCATGTTACTGCTGCAAAGTGACTGCCTCTGAGAATTCATGTGTACACATCCTTCCAACCGAGCCTCGTGCCTGTGAGGAGCTTGGATCAGTGGGAGCCCCTGGGTACAAGTCCTCACTACTGGCAGTTAAATGAAACCCAAGGGTTTGTATCTTCTATGCCAGCATTTAAAGAGTGCCTGTAAGTTAAGGGTGCTCATGTGGCGCACTGCTAGGCGTGAGAATTCAGGCTGCAGCTTTTGAAAAGTAGCGTGATAGCTTGTCCGTTCCAGTTGCAAAACACTCCGGAGGGAAAAGAGAAATGCTTTGTTAGTGCAGGAAGCAGCCAGGCAGGGCCGAGCACAGCCAGCAAGAAAGGAGGCTGCTTTCCCCTTTCACTATGCCCCTTAAAAGCACCCAGCATCACTGCTCTGAGGGTCTTTGCAGGGAAGAGACCTGCAAAGAGGATGGGAGCAGCTGCTTTGTGGATTTGTGGGACTGGATCAGCTGGATGCCACTTGTAGATTTGGATCTGCTTTAGCAGTGTCTTCAGGCCTCCGTGTCTCAGTTTCCCTCATATGTGAAGTGACATTAAAACATGCAACTTCAAAATCCAACTTGTAAAACTTCAGCCGGAGCTGCTATATAGATGGTACTTGTGGTTGAGCCAGTACTAGCCTGTGAAGTACCGACCTGCAGATAACTTTTGGAAGGGCTGCAGAGGGCAGCTTACAAAACAGTGCAGGAATTTATGGCTAGGTAGCAGGAAGAGACACGCTGCCCTGCAGGAGGCTGCTGGAACTTTGTTAGAGTGTGTTTGCTGTTACACCAACAGCATCCTGACTCCTGATACCATCCTTTGCCCCAGATATCCCCAACACCCATTGCTGAATATTCATGGAGTGTTTCGGCATCCCGTATGACTCTGGGTGAGCCAAAGCCAGGCTGCGTTTGAACTAGAAAGTCACAAGCCTGAACTGGAGCCCTGTGACTGGGCTATATAAAAGAGGGCAAAATGCTGACTGAAAGTACTGTAGAGAAAATCCCACCTATCTCTTGCCTCCAACTATCTCCTTGACCATCCAATGCATACACAAGGTCCATGCTGAAGTTGGGAATTGCAGACTTGGTGCAGGTAGCAAACGCCACTGAGAGCAGGCCCCCTCCACAGATAGTTTGGAGAAAGCCAGCTTAATTCCACCTTAAGCTTGCCCCAGTCTCCAGCATGATGTTAGGTGGGATCACGTGTTAGGCAGGCTTTAGGCGCTTGCTTTCTGTGCAGTTGTTCCCTGTTCGCTGCCACGTGTGAGTGGTTGAGCAAATTCTGTTTGGTCGGTTGGGTTTTGTGTTTGTTTTCCATTGAGCTCTGTGAAAACCCTGCAGGCTCCTCTCGGCCTTTCGGGGCTGCAGTGTTTCTGGTGGAGGAGCTGCTGGGGAGGGCAGTCGCAGTGCTGAGGCGTGCAGTGCCCTGGTGTTGGCCACTCTGACTCCCCTCCTGAAATGCATGTTTCTTGGGAGCTGCTTTTCTGGCCTGAAGTCTCCTCCTCTGGCCCTTTCCTTCAGATGGGGAAATGCCTTTCTAGTAATATGTGGAGACTGCACATACAGTTTGTTTTCCTTGAGTGCTCTGCACTGGCAGCCTGTTTGGTTTAGCAACAAAGCCTTTGGCCTTGCCTCTGATTTAAAGCACTCCTGATGTTAAGCCCTGTGAAATCAGTAAAGTGTTTCTTCTCAAACTGCAAGGCTGAGATGCCCAACTCCCTCCGTTTTTCCTAGGGATTATACCAGTGGTGGAAAAGCAGAATAAAGATCTTCTCTTTTTCAGCCTCCAGTGGGAGAAAATAATGTCTCTCCCTCCAGGGGAGACCTTGTAAGTCTTCCAGCACATAAAGGGGGCCAACAAGAAATCTGAGGAGGAGCTTTTGACAAGGGCCTTTAGTGACATGATAGCGGGGAATGGCTTTAAACCAACAGAGGGGAGACTGAGATTGGATATTAGGAAGAAGTTCTTCCCTGTGAGAGTTCTTCCCAAGTGAGGCCCTGGCACAGGTTTCCCAGAGAAGCTGTGGCTGCCCCATCCCTGGCAGTGTTCAAGGCCGGGCTGGACGGGGCTCAGAGCAACCTGGTCTAGTGGAAGGTGTCCCTGCCCACGGCAGGGGGTTGGAACTGGATGAGCTTTAAGGTCCCTTCCAACCCAAACCAGTTTGTGAATCTATGATTCTAAAACTCCCTAGAGGGTCTCCTTCTCTTTCAGAGGGTGTGTAAAGGGAGATGGGCCACAAAGTGAGGCAATGCTGCCTCACCCACCCCTCCAAGGGTGGCCCCTGCCCCTCTGTATGGCACAAGGGAGAGGACGTCCTGCACTGCCCACAGGGAAGGGACTCAGCCCTGCCGCACTCTGCTTCCTGAGATGGGAGTTTTGTGCCCAAGGAATAATGTAAAGCATACAGTGAGCAGGCAGAGGATTAGGGTGTGCTTCAAAGGTGGGGAGGAGAGAGAGGTGCTGCCCTATGCAAGCTGCTTTTGCACCCCAGGACCAGCAGGTGATGTTTTGAGAAGAAACCCTGTGCAGAAAACAGACTGCAGAGAAGAACCCAAGTCTTACCAGGACTATAGCAAGGGCTGCAGTGTGTACAGGCCCTGAGAGAGAACAGATGGGTGCATGCAGTGTATGTGTTCTCATTTCCAGGAGTTACAGCTCGCTCACGCTTTTGGGGAGAAGCATTGCACTCACCAGACAGCTCTGGCAGAATCAGGAAGAGAAGAGTCATCTCCTGCTCATCCAGAGGGTGATGCCCAGAGGATTTCTCCCCTGTGGGGAAAATTAAGAATGCCTCCCAGCACCTGCTGGCCTTGTAGGCTTGTTTGAGGGCAACCAGGTGCTGGGTAGGGACCAGCAGCCCAAACTCTTATTTCATATCTTGATTTGCACAGAGAACCAGCCAGACTGATTTTCTTGTAACACTCTCAAAATGCCCTGGATTTTCTTCAGAAAAATGTAAATACCAAAAGGATGTAGCATGCTGATTGTTGCTCTTTTTAGTCTGTGAGAGAAAATACACCCTAGCCCTTGGCAAGTCATATCCCTAGCTAGTCACTCATGTCATTAGAAATGCCTTAGCCCTGGTTTGGAAGGTCTTAAGAACACACCTCTGCTAACTCAAAAGACTATGGTGTATTCTCTAGCCCGGGTGACATGGGGTGCAGAGGCCAGTGCTGCTGGCTTGTCAATATCTGTGCCTGGTTTGTCTTGCACTGAACCCACACACGCTGCTAGTTGTTGGTGCTGCATATCCTACATTATTCATTGTTGTAGCTGAGAAGGAGGCCTTACTTCTTGCTGAAGAAGTGGATAGCAGCTTTCTCCTCCTCTGGAGCTGGCATCTGGCCCCAGCTCCAGCACAGCAGTACTGCACATGTGCCTCCCTGGGAGGGCACTGCTGCACCTTAGTCTCTTAGGCTGACTAGGGAAGGAGAAAAACTGCTCCGATTCATTTACACTAGTGCAAGGGCCAGGCTGGTAAAATAATGACAAGAAAAACTCCTCACCCTTTTCTTGTGTGAGCTAAAGTTTGCTTAAACTTTGGTTTAAGTTAAGGGGTTTTTTGCACTTTCTTTAGGAAAGATTAGGGTTTGTCTCTTTAAGTCCATTCTCAGTTCATCAAGCCAAGACAGCATCTTTCTTTTGCACTGTCTTCAGGGAATACTTGTGTCAGCACTGTCTGGATGGGATCCTAGTCTCAGCACCAGGTTGCTCTTGCAACCTAAACATTATGCTGTTATAGCATGAGAGATACACACATTATATATACACACACAAGGCTGTTTTCTAGCTCTTAGAATATCTGGGGACTTTAACTTAAGCAATCTCCTGCTACCACTGTTGAAGTGTCTGTTTCTTCCTGTTTCTCCTGCAGCATGTTAGTTTGTCTCATCTGAGAAGTTTCTGCCTTTTTGCTTGAGCAGTCATAGCCCCCTGAAGATTTCTGTTGCACACAGTTTCTCTGAACCTTTCTGCAAAGGTCCCTTCTAAAACAATGCTCTTACCACCATGGCATCTTCCAGCCCTATCTATGGGGCAGACTTCAGGATTGGTGTGGTCTAAAGGGGAATAGAGCCAGACTCCCTGACCTTGAAAGACAAAGGCTGGCTGGGGACCCACAGTCCAATGTGGCAGGAGGCTGAGGCCCTCCTGCAGCCTACAGGCACCGAGCCTCCCAGAGCACTGCTTTGGAGGTTTGTGGCAGGAAGAAGGGCTGATGGTCTGGTCCACCCTGGATGCCAGCTGGGGTTGCATGGCCACAGGTCACCACAGCATTTTTATCGCAGAGGATTTCCCAATTTCAACTCTTCAGAAAGGAAGCACCTTTATTCCGGGTTAATTATAAAGGATTTCTTGCACTATCTCAGAGTGATGAAAGGAGTTTGCTGATCCCCTCAGTGGAATTTAAAGTATGTCTCATCGTTTTATTTCCCTCATTAATGCTGACCCAAGCTGCCAGTCCCTGTGTTTCTCTCATCTCTCAGTGGATTACATTTAACTAGAGCAAATTGTTAGCTACCCAGGAGAACTGGGGCTTTGTCATTTTGGAGTCATTTCACTTTGGCACACACAGCCCCATACCTTTTAAT